AAGGAAGGAAGGAAGGAAGGAAGGAAGGAAGGAAGGAAGGAAGGAAGATAGCAATAGCACAGACTTATATACCGCTTTATAGTGCTTTCCAGCCCTCTCTAAGCGGTTTACAGAGTCAGCCTCTTGCCCCCAACAATCTGGATCCTCATTTTACCCACCTCTGAAGGATGGAAGAGGCTGAGTCAACCTTGAGCCTGGTGAGATTCGAACTGCCAAATTGCAGTCAGCCGGCAGTCAGCAGAAGTAGCCTGCAGTACTGTACTCTCACCACTACACCACCATGGCTCATATTACTTTGTTGACCGTTGTTTGTATGTACACAGAGAGCTGGAAGAAGGCTGAGTCAACCTTGAGCCTGGTGAGATTCGGACTGCCAAATTGCAGATAGCCGGCAGTCAACAGCAGTAGCCTGTAGTACTGCACTCTAACCACTGAGCCACCGAGGAACCAAGGAACATGTGAGAAGAGGGGAGGCACACAGGGTTTCCAGCTAGGTTTTACAGAGAGCTCGCTCATTTCTTGGGAAAGGGAGAGGCCGAATCCGAAGATGGGGAATGGCAGATAGTGAGGGGTGGCTCCCTTAATATTCCTATCATTTAGAAAGAACAGGTTAAGTAAAACACACTGGATTTGGGAAAAGCTGGCTGGAATTCCTTTCCGAATCCTTTGGGAATCTCTCCAGGTTGTCCCCGACTCAAAACCATTCTCTTAGGGACCGTTTAAAGTTACAACAACACTGGGGGAAAAAGTGACATGACCGTTATTCAAACTTGTGACCGTCGCAGCATACCCATGGCCATGCAATCATTATTCAGTTGCTCGGCGGCTGGCTCATACATATGACCGTCGCAGTGTCCTGGGCGGGCGCATGGGATCCCCCTTTTGTGACCTTCTGACAAGCCAAGGCAGCGGGGAAAGCCAGATCCACCTAACAGCTGTGTTACCGACGTAATAACTGTAGGGAGATTCACTTAACAACTCTGGCAAGAAAGGTCGTGAAATGGAGCAAAACTCACTTAACAATGGTCTTGCTTAGCAACAGAAATTCTGGGGGCCCAATTGTGCTCGTATGTCGAGGACTGCCTCTCCTGGAATTTTTTTGTTGAAATATTTGAAACATTTTGATTTCAAAGGATTCAGAATCATTTGGGGGTCTGTATTTTTTTTAAAGTTAAGTTGGAGTTTGTCAGCAGGTGAATCGATGCAGAAACTCAGGTGCCCCAAAGAAGGAGGTAAATATTCCCTTATTTCTGTAGTATAGATAGTCCTCAACTTAACAACTGTTCATTTAGTGACCGTTTGAAGTTACAGCACTGAAAATAGTTAACATGACCGTTTTTCACACTTATGGCCATTGCAGCATCCCCATAGATTTACATTCGGATACTTGACCACTGACTCACATTTATGACGGTTGCGGTGCCTTGACAAGCAACGTCAATGGGGAAGCGAGGTTCACTTAACAACCATGCCACCAACTGAATAACTCAGTGGTTCACTTAATAAATGTGGCAAGACAAGTGATCAACCATGGCAAAATTCACTTAACGAATTTCTCACTTGGTTAACTTTATTGTCATTGCACCTCGTACAACGAAATCAAACCGCATCTTCAGTGCACATCATGACCATGAAAATAAATACAAACACACATCCTTCACCCTCCACACATTGAATTGAAAACCCCCCACACCGCACCAACACTGCACTATACAGTAGAATTCAAAAGAGCTACTGCTGGGATAGAAGCTGTTTTTCAGCCTATTTGTCCTTGTTTTTATTATTCTGTACCGTCTGCCAGGTGGTAATAGTTTAAAAAAAAAAAGGGGGGGGGGGAAGCCCAGGATGAGATGGATTTTTAAGAATGTTTTGAACTTTCTTAAGGCAGTGGGAGCTCTAAAGCTCTTCCAAAGAGGGGAGAGCAAGAGTGGTCGTAAGTTGAGAACTGCCTGTATTTTGGTAAAACGTAAGTCCACATGAAGTCCTTTGAGCTTTTGAGTCCTTACAGTAAAGCAGATTTCAGCATGACATCCTAACCAGTTTCACTCAACGCACTAAGACAATTTTTGGAGTTTCCAGCCCTAAGACACAAAATTGTCCAATTTCATTTTTTTGGGACGAACACCCTTGGAATGGCGTGGGGGTAGAAATGGATTTCCAAAGGAAAAAACTGCAGACTGCAGGATCCAGGAGTACTAACTCAGGTGACCCTGAGGACACAGAGAAACCTCCAAGAGTCCTCAATGACCCTCTAAAAGGATGCAAATGGCCAGCTGTCTGCAAGGAATATAAATCCTTCCCTTCCCCACCATCCAGTCAGAGCGGAAGAAACCTCTTGGATGAGAAGTGAAATATCTTCAAAAGAAAGTCTAGTTGCCTCCTGAAAAAGCACCTGGGGCATTGCGTTGCATCGGCCTACAAACATCGTTCCGGAAAAAAAAAAAAAAAACCAACGATGCTGGGAAACTTTTACAGTTCCTTTAGCAAAGCCAGCCACCCTGTCTGGTTGAAAGGAAAAGAGAAAAAAACTGGCCATCCTGTAGCTTGGCCAAACTCCGTCATGTCAGTTGCCAAAAGCACCACAGATAAGCCAAGAGAAGTCAGGATCCAGATTGAAGCTTGCAAGGATGTGAAGGGGAGAAGGGAGAGGGGGAAAAAAAAAACACCAAAACAAAACACCAGCTTTAATACTGCTTGGAAAACTCTCCGAGGGGAGCATCTATAAATAGACCCAGGATAACCCCAGCTAAGCTGGAAGCCTCAAATACTGTTCGCGAGGGCTGCTATCCAAGCATAAATTCTGTTGCTCCAGATTAAACCGAGGATGCTCGGCACGATTCGGGGTAGAAGGTGACATTGAATCTTCAAAGCGGGAATCAAGGTTAACTCGGCTGGCATAGAACTCAATTTAACCACGAAGCGTAATTGCATGCTCTATCCACATCAGCCTGCACTGAACACTTACTCTTTATAAAACAAGGAAGGGGGGGGTAGTTCTCGGCTCAGGGCCACAATGGAGGACAAAATTTATGTGAGGCAAGGCGTTAAATGAGCTTAGCTCCCTGCATTTTGCAACCGGTTTTGTCGCCGATGTTAAGCACACCAATGCAGCAGTTAAGCAAATCTGGATCCCTGCTTCCCCGCAGAGGCTTCACTTGTCGGAAGGTGACGGGGAAGTTTACAAATGGTGATCTTGGAACGGTGTGTTGGAAGGAAAAATCCATCCGGTTCGGTTCCAAGCGGGGAGGAAAACCCTGGAAGCAACGTGGAGGCTGATTGGAAAGGGAGTTTAATGAGGAATGGAACCAACAGTTCTGGGTCAGCTGAACAAATGAGCGGATGGATAGCAATAGCACTTAGACTTATATACCCTTCACAGTGCTTTCCAGCCCTCTCTAAGCGGTTTACAGAGTCAGCCTCTTTGCCCCCCAACAATCTGGCTCCTCATTTTACCCACCTCGGAAGGACGGAAGGCTGAGTCAAAACCATGAGCTGGTCAGGATCAAACTCCTGGCAGTGGGCAAAGTTAGCCTGCAACACTGCATTGTAACAAATGCGCCACTAGGGCTTCCTTCCTTCCTTCCTTCCTTCCTTCCTTCCTTCCTTCCTTCCTTCCTTCCTTCCTTCCTTCCTTCCTTCCTTCCCAAGCAATAGCAGACTTATATACCGCTTCATGGAGCTTTCCAGCCCTCTCTAAGCGGTTTACAGAGTCAGCCTCTTGTGCCTTTTGCTAAATGGTGGTGGATTAATCCTAGTAGGCAGTCCTAAAGGCTCATGTCCTGTTCTTAGAATTTGGGTGGAGGAGGAGAACGTCAATTTTAATCCCATCCTTGGAGGCGAAGCTCTTTTGTTTTGTGAATTAGGCTGGCCCAATCTTTCTTAATGGGCACAAAATATCTGCTGGGGGCTATTAAGAAAGACTTGAGTCTGCTTTCTGCCTTTAAGGCAGGCATTCCCAACATTTTCTATACCCTGCCCCCCTAGAACACTTCCGATATAATCTCGCACCCCTTAAAAGAGTAATCAGATGCATAGGTAAAGCTTCCCCTCGCACATAAGTGCTAGTTGTTCCCGGCTCTAGGGGGCAGTGCTCATCTCCATTACAAAACCAAAGAAGAGCCAGCGCTGTCCGAAGACGTCTCCGTGGTCATGTGGC